CGATTAAATGCCTAGATTCTAAGATACGGCCATTTTTACCCTTTTTCTCGTTACAGCCACATCGTATTGCAAAAAAATTAGCACCATTCGATTCAGCGACGTCGAATTACCTTTGTATCAAACTGTCGAGAACTTCTACCTGAAAGTTTTTCCTTCACCTCTTATTGACTGGGCTAAACAGGCTAGTGTGGAAAAGGATCCTCTCGAGGATTGTAATTCGACGCTTTGATGGATCAAAGAGACATAGCCGTTGTTACAAGGAACACCATTCCTCTTTTTCTTTCCCACAGGTTTGCTTGCCAACATTTCTACCGTATCAGCATCCTCCGTCCTCCTTGTTTTATTCTTCATCTTCATCTTCCTCTTCCTCTTCCTCTTGCTCTCCTTCTTATTCTTTCTTTTTCTTTCCATTTTTCTATCTGCTCTCTATCGAAGAGAGCAGCAATGCTGCTCCCCCTTTTAACAAACCTAAAGGAAGAGAGAAAGGCAACAAACATTCTATCGGAGATCTTACCTCTCCAGAAGCTACGGCTTCTCCAGGAATGAAGAGTTCCGGGTAAATGTTGTCGAGGTACCATTTAAACGACTTGCATCCGAGCTGTTTCCTCAGGGCTTTCCGTTCCGATACGTCCCCAAAGTTACCCTGAAAAATCGTAAATCATAAAAAGTTCGGAAAAGTTTATCCATCCACCGGGGAATGTTTACTTGACTGAAAAAGAAGCTAGAGAGTAAAAGAGATAGAGATAGCGACTGTGGGATCATCCTTACGCTTCGACGAACAAAAACTCAAAGCTCTTCAAAAGCGAGATGAAGTGCAGATGATCTTGTCCGGAAATTCAACGATGACTAAGATTTTAATTAAAGTTAAAGCCCCGTCTCGTCCTTTTCTCCTTCTATGCTTTTTAAACAGAATACGCTTGCTTTTCTTGCTGGATGGCGACGGATTTTAGCCTCCCCCTTCCCCATGAAATCGTTCATTCGTTACTTAATTGTTTTTAACATTTTAGATTTATAAAGATAGAGTTAATATTATAATTGGAAAATAAGAAAAAGAAAATGTTACAATGAATTTTCATATTTCATTTTCTATCAAATAATTTGAGCAAAACAAATTATTTAAATTAACAAACAGATAATACCAAAATGAAAGCCGTAAAAATAATCTAAAAGATATCATAAAATTATGAAATATTTCCTATGGCATCATTTCTATTTACAATTTTTCATACTTTCTTATTGGCCAAGACAATCATTCCACTCTATAGAAAATATCTTTTCGTATTATATCTATACTTATTTCGAAAGTAATCTTTTCACGTTGCAATCATAATTTGACGAGAATGATCGTGACGATGATGATAACAAATTATGATCGAGAAATCTCCTTTGTCGTTTGACTTGTCTTCCCTTTATTTATCGTTCGTGGAGGGATGTGAATGTGAAAATCAGAAGACGTACATCGTTGGTCGTCAAGAAGTTGAAGCTACCGGTGCAATCCATTTTATTTGATCACTTCGGCCCGTCGATCGTGGCAGGTCCGAAGACAAGGAACGAATGAAGATCGACGATAAACGATAAATCGTTATAGCCAGCAGTAGAAGAAGCCAAGACAGGCGAGTTATCTTTACTCGAACCTTTCTCGATCGTTTACGGTTTCCTTTTTACGAGAAGTTCCGAGTCATGCTCCTTTCCATCATCGCTCACTTGTGTGTACCTTATAACGTTACTTTTCACGTATACACTCACACTCTATCTCTATTTCTCTCTCTTTCTTTTTTCTTTTATTTTCTCTTAGATTTTTAATTTTATTAATTAAACAAAAATAATAAATATTATATAATATAAACAAAGTTAAACACGAAATTTGTATAAAATGTTTATCAATTTATACTGGAAAAATCTCTTCCCGGAAAAACATTCGTAATAAATCTTGCAAAACATTGTCATCCTCGTGAGAACTCGGCCTGTCACATTTCACGAAGTTAAGCAACCACACGTCGTTTCTCATAAACGAAAACCAAGAGAGAAAGAGATAGAGAAAGAGAGAGAGAGAGAGAAAAAGGGAGAAAAGTTAAAAACCGAGCGGTAGAAAGGTTATTCAAGCAGCAAAAGAGAAGTGCTCACCTTGTCGTGACCTATCCTTTGGTAGTAGTACTTGGCGTACTCGTCCAACCACACTTCACTCAACCTTATGCTATTCCTCTTGAGCACGTTCACGCCGCTACGCCACTTGTAAGGGGAACGCTTCCTGAAGATATGACCCACGTGCGAACACGGCACGATTTCCAGAGTACCTGAAGGACAGGTACGTACCGCTTGTCGAATTAAGCTTTTCAAACCAATTTTCTATTTCGTTCTATATAACTTTGACGTTTAACAAAAAGAACAAAAAAACTCGAACTCGAGTGTTGTTCCAGCTGTGATTTCTATCACGTACTTACAGCAACGAGTTTTGTTTGTTTGTTTCTTTCTTTCTTTCATCTATTTTCACGAATTACAATTATACAAAGCAAACGAGTTTATGAAATGTCCTATCATAAATATTAATCAACAATCGTACCTCCGCACATCCAAGTCTTGAAGGATAACTCGAGATTCTCACCGCCCCAGATATCGAATCCACTATCGTATGTACCGAGTTTCTCGAAGAAAGCACGATCTATCGAGAACAAACCACCCGCCATTGTAGGTGACCAAACAGGCTCCGCCGGATTCTTATGTCTTTTCTTCTCCCTTTCCGGTACTGCGTGCCAGTTGAACTGATTAAAAAAACAGAAGGTATCACGTCGTAAACTTGACAAACTTAAACTGTTTAGCATAACGACAATGCTTTCACCAGATTACAAAACAAAAAAATAAGAAGAAAAGGTAAAACCTTTCGAACCAACTTTTCTTACTCGTTCCTTTTGTTCTCTTTTTTTTTATTATCATAAGAAAGGAAAACAAAAATAAGATAATATTATAAGAATTAAAAGAAGAAAAAAAAGAGATAAAGTAATCCACGTTACAGAGTTTTCAGCTTAATCGTTGGTTTCCAATTAAAATTCTTTCGAATATCTCTGAAAGAGAAAAAAAATCCAAGAAAAAATAAATGGAACTTCTGCTTACTCAGGTTTCCAGAAATGTAGGATTTGTCAGGACAGTTTTCATTCTTCCGCGAAATCGTTACTTAAATTAAAGTCAAGTCTGGATTGGTTTACCTGAAGATTCCAATCGAAGCCGCCGACGTTCACACCACCTGAGTCTCTCCAATGGTACTCGAGTGTAGTGTCATCGATAACATCGATTACTGGACAAACTACCGTCGTTGGATCACGCGCTATTCTATCTAAAAGAGGTTCGAGCCATCCTACGGTGCATTCACAGTGACTGTCCAAATATGTGAGGACCGGTGCTTTGGTAGCCGATGCACCAAGTAGACGAGCCCTTATCAAGCCTTCGCGTTTTTGGGCACGAATGATTTTCACCTTCGGATAATTCATCATGTAATCTTCCAGTTGCCGTTTCAGATGAGCTGTTGGAATATTCCGATAAACGATTTATTTCATTCTTTCTCCTGTTTCTTTTTTTTCTTTTTTTCTTTTTTTTTTTTGAAACAAAAAATCATAACAAATCTTTCAAAATCTACATATTCATATTATATTATATTATTCGGTATGCGAGCGATTGGATTGTATTTCATTTGGAAATTTCAATCGAAAATGAAATTAAGATTTGTTCATTTCTATTGGAATTCTGATATATACTCGCATATATTTTCAAATTTATGATTTATAATTTAAAGTTTAGATTGATTGAGTTATCGAACCATAGTAACACATTCCGGACGTGATTGGTATATGTAGTCTATATCGATAATATGTAAATCTAAACTTCCTAAAACGTCAACGCGTGTTTCTCGATAGCAAAATGATCCAACTTATGCATTGAAATATATCATACTTAAATGGTATATAACAGGAGTTATCATTTTGTTAAATTATTGTCACGAGATATTAGTACACAAATGTTACCTTTTTAATTTCTTTTTTTTCTTTTTTCAATGAAAGAAACAAAAGCAATATATTAAATGTCGTTGCTTTTCTTCCATTGCAGAGAAAGAAAAAAAAGTAATTCCTCGTGATAAAACATTGCTCTTAAAAAGTTGAAAAAAAAAAAACGCGTCAGAAACTATAAAAAGTCGTTTTTCCTAAATAACTCTCTTAAAGATACTGCATTTCATGATTGCACGGGAGAAAAAGAAACTCGGCCAAGTGGTAGTGGGGTGGGTGTGTTTCACTATGCATGCCATTAACGAACATAATATTTCCCGTTTCACGAAGACGAACTGTTTATGTTTCATCAAAAAGTATTTATATACAGAGAAGTACTTGATCCAAACGTTTTTTTTTCCTTTCTATAAAAAAAAATTGATAAAAAGAAAAAAAAAAGATAAAACACAAATGAACATATATAAATATTTAATGATGAAATTTAACAGGGAACTTGGACATGAAAGAAGTAGAACTATGTTTGATTTAGTTGGACGTTTCGTCC